TGTGATGCACAGTTTCAGGGCTGCAGGAGGCAATTGCTGAGAGTTTGGCAGCCATCCTCTCCGGGTCCCCATCCTTCTGGAAGCACCGAGAAGGTTTCCTCGCCATGCAGCAGACATTGCAGCACAGGGCAAGACAGTGACTCAGCAAGGCAGATCGCTGGGTTCCTTCCAGCTGCCTTTGGCTCCCATCGGAGGCAGGATCCAGTTCAAGGTTGCTGTGGTGACTGTTTTCAAAGCTCTGCCTGGAATTCATTTTAGCTACCAAGAGACTGTCTGTCACTCCATGGCTGCCACCTCCCACAAGAGCTTCATTCTGCTGCTAGACTGAAGCTGTTAGCGAAGGGTTCCCTGCAGACAATAGAAGCCAGTGGTCTGCTGTTTATAGCCAATAAAATCTTTTTGGTTTCAGAAGTTCTTCATCTACGAGCATTTTGGCCTTAAGATGTTGTCTTGGCACAGGTTTTGCTGGACACTGGTAAGGTCAGAGTTTTGTAGTCTAGCACAGAGCAAGTTGCACGTTAAATCCAACTTCTTCTAAGTCTGCCTTTCGCTAAACCACAGCATGTTTGTTTTGTTTTATAATCAAAACCCAACAGAATAATAGTGGAGCAGAGACATGCATGCCTGAACTTTTTTCCTTTCTTTACCCTTTCCATCAATCTTATTTGTTGCTTATACACTGGGGAATTCATATCTGGTCTGTGGGATAAATCCTAGTATAACATTGCCCTAATGTGCTTGCAACAGTAGTGGGATAATGTGAATAACTACTATAAAGAAACCACCCTAATCCTGAAAGTTAGGCCAGCTTAGAGCTGGGCAGACTAACTCCTTGAATTCCTGAAGATTCAAGATTTTAATTTCTTAGTTGTCTGTATCCTGTTTTTTCCTCCTTTTGCATTAATTGCTCTTTATTTTTTCTCCTTCCCTTTTCCTCATCCTTGCCCCCAAGTGTTGTTCAGCTTTGTATATTGAGTCTTCCTTGGCATGCCAGAAATCTGCTGATGAATGCCACTTGTCTGAAAGTCGCATAGAAGATTTCTTTTTGTGCAAGTGTTTCGTGTGAAATCCAAGTGAGCAAGTATTTAGAACTTACTCGTGGCTTCAAGCCTCAGTTTTCAGTTGTGTGCAGATGATATTTGAAGCATTCATCAGAAATACACTTAGAGAACAACATCAAAAATTATCTATGTTTTTGGAGTGTCTGAAGGACAGATTGGAAAAATAGGGAACAGCTTTTTGTAAGGATGATGGCTATTAATCACTGAAACAAATGATCACAAGAAGTTAGAAAATCTCCACCATCCAAGTTTTCAGTTTGGTAGCGGATGCTTTTTCAGAGCAGAAGCAGTAACTGGCATTATTTGGTCTTGAAGAGCAGACGGTTGATAATTGTTTGCCTTCAGTCTCTCCCTCCGTAGATCTTGTGATTTTCCTTTGCAAGCCCAGTTCTAACAATGATTGAACACCAGTCATGGATTGCCATGTTAATGCTCGAGACATCCTCTCTTCGCCTGCCTCATATTTCATAGAATCATAGAATCGTTAGGGTTGAAAAGGACTCTAAGATCATCTAGTTTTAACCCCCCTGACACTTTTAAAGTCTTTGGCATAAGAAGTACTTCAATTTTAAGGTAGCGAGGCAGTTTCTTTTGCAACTGTCCCTAAATGTCTGGGAGCAGCATAACACAGAGCTGTAGTAACCCTTTGAATGCATTTACGTGTCCTGTTTATTAGCTGTTACATAGAAAAATCTAGAAGTACATTTCATTCAGTACAGCAGAGATTTGGTGTCTTCATTTCCAAGTTTAAGTTGATGTGTATTAGCTGGACACAAAAGACTTAATTTCTGAATTTGCTGGGTGGTGGTTGGGTTTTTTTCTCTTCTCTGACATGCTTAATCTTTTGTAAGTCCCCTTTTGTGGCTTTGTTCTGGCAATTAATGTAGAAATGAAGGTTTCTAAATCAGGATATGCAAGGAAGATTCGAAGTAACACACTGATTATATAATTAATTCTCAGTTGTAAATCCATTTTGATGGAGTTAATTCTTTCCCAGAGGCTGAAGACTTGTTTTGGTCCACCCACAGTGCTGTAATCACTTAAGAAATAAAGAATAAAAAGACCTTGAAGGAATGGAAGTTTCATGACTGGTTTTAGGAGAAAAATACCAGAAACAGGCAGGATATTTTATTTTTAATTCAAGCAAAAGCTTCTGAGCTTTGATTTTGAACCATGGGTATCCAAATCCTGTTTTCAAGCAGCGTAATATATTGAGTCTAAGAGAAATCAGAAAGGAATGATACCTGAGGAGGATGGAGAAAAATTGTCTGGGTGGTGGAACCTTGCACAGATGGGAAAGTGTGCTTTGTAGAAGATGTATTTAGGATTATTTATTACATCTTCCGTAAATATGGCAATGTTCAAATATCATTTTCTGTACGACAGTTGCCCATTTACTAATAAATACAGACCAGTGACTGCCACCTTGATGGACTATTAACTCAATGCTTTCAACAGTGTTTTGTGAGGTGGCAGCTTCAGATATCATAAAAAGCTCTCCAAAACCTAAATAATTTGGAAAATCCCATTTGCTGTACTTCATTCGTCTGCTTCTCTCTTGCTTAACCAGTGACCTAATCATCCTGTAGATGTGTTTAGACTGCAGGTTGCCAGAACAAAACAAACAACAAAAAAGCAAATAATGCCCCAAACAAACAGCAAAGAAAAGATGTTGACAAATTTCCAGGATTTCCAAATAATTCTGCACACATACCACAAGGGCAGTTGCTAGACTGTTTTACTCTCTAATAACTGATTTTGTTTACAAGGCTTTCTAATCTCAGACTGTGTCTGCCTTTTCCTTGGTTGGGCATATTTTGTATTATAAATTGAAAACACCTTTGTCTAGGGGTGATTTTAGCATGCATGCTAGGAAAGGATGTGCATGCAAGTGTCATTATATCCTAAGAACTGGTAGTTTCTGTTCTATTTTCTTAGTCTCCTTGGTGGCTGCAGCAGAAGTTATGTTGTCTTGGTTAAATTGCATTATCACCACATTTCTAAGCTCAGTCGAAGACGTGTAAATGAAGTCAGCATGATGCAGATAGAGCTGACAGATGATCTTTCTTGCAGCTCTGGGTAGCAAGAGTAGGCTTGCCCTGGAATATCACTTTATCTAAAGTGGTTTCTTTGCCCCTCTGTCTGAATTTGAACAGAATGAAATTCCCACTGACTGGTTCTCCATGAACTGCTCCCCAGCTTCTGCTTCCAAGTTTGGTGAAAAAAAAGCCAACTCTGGCTAAGGGATCGTTGTACCATTCTAGTGAGTGAATAGTTAAATGTAATCTTAATGTGTCATTTAAATTTGAGCCTAACAAGGTTATAACTGGAGTTGTGTGAAAATGACTTTTTGGTGCTATTTTCACATAAACTGACTATTTATTTATTTATTTTGTTCTGGGGTTATTTCACACCCCAAGGGTTTCATTTTTGTTGGTTGTTTTATTAATGTAAAAATACTCATTTTCACACCCAAATGTGTGATTATTTAAAATGTTGCTTCTATTCATTGTGCACTCACTTGCAACCTAAAGGCAAATATTCAAATGTCTGGAGCTTGATAACTCTGTGGTGGTTTTGGCTGCCTTTTTCAAATCCAAAATTACTGTGAAGAGAAATGGGCAGTAAGCAATTCAAACAGTTATAAGTGCTGTACTGCCGTGTCTGCCTCTCAGCATCCAAGGACGGTTCCTACGTTATTCCAGCACACACGATGAGTGCAGTGCCCTGTCTCAGATGCACACAAACCCTCGCACAGCATGGTAGTGCCAGAGGGCTGTAAGAATGAGCCTTGATCTCTCTGGCCCAGTGTGACTTTAAGTAGCCACAGACCCTCTTTCCTGCATGGAGAAATAATGTGGCTTCACAGCACAGAAGCAGAATTGCAGTAATGTTGATCCAAGTGTCTCTGCCCCTTACTCCTGCCCATCCTTTCCCCTGCCCCAGCCAGTGAGGACCACAGAGAACATAGATCCAATGTGCATTTTACCAGCATCTCCTCTCTCTGGGCACTGACTGGTTAAAACACAGCTTAAAATGTCCTTTTTTTTTTTTTTCCCTAAATTGAGCTGATTTTTGAGTGTCTAAATGTGATGTAAAATCAGTGTCCAGGGCTCTGCATTTTGTAATAAGTGAATGTTTTGCTGATTTCTCGCTAGTATATCTGCAACCACACCAATTTGCATGCCTGTATGTGTGTTAGATTGCTGGCAAAGAAATGCTGAATGCTGATAATTGTATACTGATTTCTAAGGCTGATTTAAGTAATTTTGATTTTTAATTCATTCTGTGCTTCCTTTTTATTTCTGCACATGTGTAGTAATGTCCTGTAATGTTGTTGCCTAAAATAAGCTGTAAGAAATGAAGTTGTGAGATGGCTGCTGTAAAAGGAAAATGACATTTTTTCTTTAGAGTTTTTTTTTTCTCCCCAGTAAAAGAATAAGTCTCTGTATACAGAATGTTCAAAAACCATTGCATTCACTATATTGCTGCTAATCTATATACAGAAACCAGCATGGCTGATGGGAGCTTACAAAGCACAGAAAAGTGATATCTAGAAGTTCTGCACAAGAATATTCTTGTTCTTGAGAAGCCCTGAGCACACAACACTCCCTTACAGGTCAGCTGGACTCAGGGGTGTTTCACAAAACTGGGTTATTCACTGAAAGTCTGGTCTGAGATCCTGCAGTCGATTTGTGTTAGGTGATGAAGAAACCTCTGCCCGTGTGCTAAGGAAAAGGAAGAAAATATAGGGATCTGCATGTCTTCTTGTTGATTGTATGTGATAAACCCAGAGTGTGTTTTCTCTCCTTCCTTCAGTGATACACTTGAGTTCATGGATGCATCAGTGGTATTGGGAATCTGACTTTCTTTATATATCTGTGAACATGTTACCAAATACTGAATGTATTAAAAGTTTTAGTTTTCTTTTTTTGTTAGGAATCTGAGAAAAAGGGGTTAATTGAGAGAATCCACATGGTCCAAGAGATCATCATAGCTGTTCAAAGCATCCTAGAAGAAACAGCATCATTTGGAGAGAGGATTAAAAAGTAAGTGATAATTTTCTTCTTGCTTAGCTATGACTTGCATATCCAGGAGCATTAAGGTGGAATGGATGTCCTGCTTCAAAAATGACTGCAAGGTGCAGCAGGAGAACATGGCCAGTCCCACCACTGCTTCTTCCTTTGGAGTCTTTTATTCCAGAAACCTTTCCGAAGCATGGAGAGTCATAGAATTGTAGAATGGTTTGGGTTGGAAAGGACCTTAAGATCATCCAGTTCCAACACCCTGCCATGGGCAGGGACATCTTCTACTAGACCAGGTTGCTCAAAGCCCCGTCAAACCTGGCCTTGAACACTGACAGGGACAGGGCAGCTAAGCCACAACTTCTCTGAGCAACCTGTGCCAGCATCTCACCACCCTCACAGTAAAGAATTGCTTCTTAATAGCTAATCTAAATATCTCTTTCAGTTTGAAGCCATTTCCCCTTGTAAAAAGTCCCTCTCCAGATTCCTTGTAGGCACTCTTTAGGTATTATCTCCTTTGAAGAGGAGAAGCACATGTTCTACTGAGGTACTACTCACATTTGCCTAGATTTCTAGTCTTGTCTACGATGGGATGGGGAGTCATGAACGCCACTCAAGGGAAAAATATTGCTTGATGATGTGGGCACGGAAGTGTTGGGAATTTCTTTTCATTCCCTTCATAGAAAGTAGGTAGGAATTTATGGCTGGTGTTGCCTTTCCCATGCTCTCTCCCTGGTTGCAGGAGGTTACCAGTCAATTATTTCCCTACCCAACACACTGATGTTATTCTCTCTTTACCATTTTGATCTGTCTCCTTCCTGCTGGTGCCACGAGGAAGCCCAAAGGGTTGCATGGGGAAGCACACAGGGTATTCCTGACCTTACAAAGGAGGGAGGTGAAGAGCCTAAAAAAAAATAAAATCCCCCACACAAACACACACAAACTTTTATAGCTCAATCTTAATTGATCCACATTGTTTTCTGTTTTGAACACAAAGTGATGGTTTGTGATCGAGCCACACTTTAATGAGGAGCTGGGTTCAAGCTAAAAATACAGCAAACGCATGTGCTGTGGTTCCACGCCGGACACCCCAGCTGGGTGGAAGCAGCCCAAAGATGTATTCCAGTCTATGAACAGGGCACTGTTCTGCCCAGCTGCATGGCAGGAAGACTCACAGAGCTTAAGCACTATTAATTCTTGTATTCATTTTGGTAACAATGGTCTTAAAGAACACTTTGGGTATTAATGCAGATGCCCAATATAATTTCAGAAGAATTCCGTTGTAACTCAACAGTAATGTACCGTTAACAAATTGCTACCAAAGTTTTTTTTGTCAGTGACAGACTGAATTGTGCTGTAGTTTCCGTCTGTCACTCCAGTTATGCAATCACAGGGAGTTTTAATAGTTCAACTGAATTGAGCTGTTTTGCTATTTTTTTTACTTTAACTTAAGCTACGTTGATTGATAACAGTGGGTCCTCTCCCACCTATCTTCAGTTAATATTTAATACATCTATTGAAGCTTAAAAGTGATTCTTTTAGCATCCTATTAATTCTATCTGTCAAGGGAAGTTTGTCTTATTTTAGAGCCTGATAAGTGGGTCCACATTCATTCTTTCTTCTTCCTACTCCCCGTCATTGTGATGTGATGAAGTTAGCAGGCAGATTGTATGAAACAGAGATGCCCACATCTGTAAATCCTCCTATGGACTAACTGGCGTTCATATAGTTCAGGTATCTCAATATTTAGTGCATGTTGTAGAGGGATGTCTTGTGAGGGAACAGGGGGATAAAGTAACTTCAAAGATGTGTTAGCAATAGCTGCTTAGCTTAAATGCATCGTGGTCTTAGAAATAAAAGCTCTGAGTGTCAGAAAGTCCTGCTTTGTGCTGCAATGCTGGAAAAGTCTGAAAGACTCTAGTAACTAAGCCTCTTGAGTGTTCCTCTTGGGAAAAATCTGATGCAGGTTCATGGTGTGCAGAAGCTTTGACTGTTGCTAGCATACCATAGCTTACCCAAGACAGCCTCCTATGTACAATGTAATAAGGAATTGCTGAAAATGCAAGGAAACAGAAGCAAATATATATATCTGTTGATAGGTTTATATAGAGTATTAATCCCTAATATTATACAGAGAAATTGCTCTTTTAAGGTTTAGCCTCTGTCATAATCCATTCTGAGTTGTTGGTGGGGTTGAGTTTGGCTGCCTGCCATGTAAGTCGTGCACTGACAGACATCCCATGTCATCTCCACTGTGGCCTAGTGGAGCCAGCTCAGATGGCTGTGTCGTGGTTTAAGCACCATGGCCTCGTCTCCGGATCAGATAATCCACCCATGAATAATGGAGAGCTGACTGGTGAGCAGAGATGTGTAACAAGTGCGACATGTATAAAGAAGAAATAAAAATGACTTGCTACATGCCTTACAACTCCACTGAGCTCCCCAGAGACTTATCATGGTAACAGCCTCTTGGATACCTCCCTTGATCTGTTATAGCGTCCACATGCAGGAATCTGCATATCCACCTTCCAGTGGTCTGCAATGTAAGTGATCTGAATGCACCGAGCACTGCAAAGAGGTCATTAAGTTATTATTGGGTAGCAGAATACAAGCAATGTCCAAGAGCAGAAATGTTGAAAAGGATTTTTCCTTTTCTTTTCTTTACAGCACATTCAACTGGACGGTGCCTTTCCTCTCTGTCCTGGCCTGCTTGGTCCTGGCAGCAGCCACAGTTATTTTGTATTTCATACCACTGAGGTACATTGTTTTAATCTGGGGTAAGTACTCCACTGTGTCTCATTTGCGTGCAATAAATACAATATAAATCTACAGAATTAAATCAAACAAGCTTTAAATGACCTGTTAGACAATCAAGTGCTATTGCTTAGAGGTAAATAAATATGCTATGAACTTCTTAAAATTGCCGTTTTCCCCCCTCAGGTGATCCAACGATTTGCTTTTCTTAGGGTTCTTTCTAAGTTTCCAACAGCACACAAGAAGAGCATTAGCCTAGATAAGCTACTTCCAGTGTTATTGTTCTGCAGGAAAGTAATTAGCTTCCTGGTGCTGGAGCCCCACTTGGGAAAATGATAGGGACTGGACAAGGTGTGTTTTGCAGAGTTGGACCCTGGAAGCCCCTTGGGTCTTAACTCCCCTGCAGTCAGGAGAGGCAGTAGCCCGTGGTCCAACAAGAGGCATGGAGCATTTCTTTGTGTCAGAAAGTATTTGTATGAAAGTGTATTGTGAGGTAAAAGAGGAACTTGTAGAAATGAAAACTTTCCTGGTGGTGTTACGAAGGAAGAGTAAGATGGTCTTTCACAAAAGGAGATGGCTTTCTAGCTGCTGAAAAGTCTCTTCATCTCAAAATGGCCTTTCATCTTGTTTAGTGTGTCAACTTTTATCTCAGCCTTGAGGTAAAATGGTTGAGAACATAGTGCAGGTAATCCTCACTGAAGCCCTGAAGCTCAGCCCTGGTGCAGCTCTGGACTGTAGGGTCCCCCCATCACCACCCATATGCTGCTGCCTTGGCCTCTCATGGATGCAGAAAAGGAAGGCAATGAGAAGGTAGAAGTACAAACAGCCACTCTTGAGTAAAAAAAAAAAAAAAGAAATAAAGGATTAAAACAAAGAAAGGGCCAAAGGGAAGGAGAGAAATTGCTGGGAGTAAAAAGTTCAGTAACAAAATACTGCTGTGCTCATGTGGAAGACATGGTGAGTACATAAAAACTATACATCCGTTCAACATCATCTAGAGTGACAGGGCCTTCAAATATGATACATGTTAAACAACTACCCTGTGGCAAGGCCTCAAAAGACCTTATGGTATTTTCTGTTTTTTAAAAATCAGGTACACAGAAAATTGTGTTGGCATTTTGCTACAAGTATATGGCTTAAAAGCTGAATCTTGGATGTGAAGCAGGTACATTTCAGAGAGAGGAGGAAGCTGGAGCAGGCATCACATTTGAAATCACTTTCAGGGAAACTACTGGACAGGGGCATGATGGAATTGAATGCTGTATTATGATCCTCAGAGGCAAGCAACATTTGAGGGTTTTTTTGCTATTGTTTAAAATGGGTTAGCTGATTTCACCTAATGCTCCTTTGCTCTTCTACCACCACAACTTTAGGTAACCACACTGCTAGTTGCTATTTCCCAGGGGGAAGTGGTGGCAGTAGGGTGTTAAGTGACTGCATTAGCACAAAGGGAGAGCTGGGAAGGATGCTCAAATCTCTCACTTGATCATCCCGGCCCATGCAATAGAGATGGTGCTGGCTGAGGGCTGCTCATCACTCCCTTTCCTCAAGAGAAGGAGAAGAGAAGACCTCACAAACACCACAATAATATGAACACTATGTTTTCATGGATCTTCTGTCCAGACAAGGGACCACCTCCGACAGCTGAAGCAAAACTAAGTCCATGGAGACAGGGAGCGCTGTTGCTGCAGTTAATATGCCAAAGTATTCACCCTAAGATCAAAATAAAGTAAATCTTGCAGTAAGTCTTTACAGTTTCACACAGCATCATAATATGGCCAACTTGTCAAATCTGGTTCTGCATAGAGAGGATAAGCTAAGAGACATGATGGGGATGGGAAGCTTTCATTTTAAGAAGAAATTGAAGGAAAAAAAAGCCTTTATCCTGCCCAATTATTTTCAGAGCCCTCCAGTTCCCTGGGCAAGAGGAGAGGGAATGTCTTTGGTCATGTTGGATAGAAGATTTAACAGCAGTCTCAGCTGTTAATTTGTGTATTCTCCCCACAATATCCCCCAGAATAAACGTGTGCTTCAATCTCTTTTTGCCACGTTGTTGACAACAGTCAATCCCCAAAGCAGAGAAATACCTTTATAAACAACGTCCTCTACTTCTTCCAGGAGGCACTTGTGAATGATTCCCCATGACAGGGAACATGTGCATGGCTTTAAGTCCAAGGCACTGTTTTCACACTAATTTTTACCTGTGAATTCGTCTTCCCTTTTTCACCTTGCCTGAATGATTTAGGAGACAGGGAATAGAAAATTGTTATATTATTTTGTTTGCCTTTTTTTTTCTAGGCATAAATAAATTTACTAAGAGGCTTAGAAATCCCTACGCCATCGACAATAATGAGCTACTAGATTTCCTCTCCAGGGTACCATCTGATGTTCAAAAGGTAGGTAATGAATGGCCACTGCCAACAGAGGCAGCAAGCGGCACTGAGAGTGGCTGGTGCTCTGCTTGGGGACCACGATGCCAGTGCACTTTTGAATAATGGAGATAAGGAATTGGGGAAAATCCACAAAGGTGCAAGGAGAGAGGGTGTTAGGGGAGCCAAAATCCTTTGTCAGAAGGATAAAATGATTGCAGAAAAATTATCCTGAAAAGACCTACTTAAAAATGATCTGGAAAATCACCCAGCATGGTTACTGAACTATGGTTTCCGTCACCTTTCTGCTCTGGTATTTGTACAGAGGGAAGGGAAAAATAGTCTTTTTGATAGAGATAACCATCCAAAAGGATTTGCTGGATTCTCCTTTTTCTCAAAAAATGGGGGAGGGCATTATTTCTGTGACTTTGTGCTTGAGCTCCAGGCCTCCCTTGGACAAGGCTTTGCTCATCTTTTCCTTTAAAGAAAGCCTTGAGATGTGTATTAAAAACTCTGCAGTTGATCAGATCAATCTTCTACCATTATGGAATTATAACTTTTAATCTAACCAGAATCTGTCCTCCCTCGATTTCATTTAAGTCTCTTCTAGTTTTTTGAAACAACAACAGCGTCCTAATAATCTTGCCTATCTTCCTGGGAATTATTTGAACAATAAGTCCTTTAGAATGTCAAGATCTGTTTATTTCTCTTGGAGGAAGGAAAATAGTCTTGCTGAGGAACAAAGCCACAAAATATAAAAGATTCTTCCTTTTGTTTTAATCAGCTGGAATCTGTGTCCTCAGGCCCTGATCCTGATGCCCTGGATCCCACTGATGCTGTACCTTCCTCTGTGAATCGTGGTACACAGTGGTGCTGCTCACTGTGAATAAGGGGATCGCAATCTCGCCTATAGTGATTTTACTCTGTTGGAGTCAGAAAAATAATTGCTGACATGCAGTGTTGAGGCATCTGGTAGAAAAAAGGTTGGAAAGGCTTCTGGTGACATTTATCTCAATAGGCCACCAGATTGGTTGGTGGCAGCACTAATATCTTGAGTGAAATCTCACCATAGACTGGTGGGAGGGAAAAACCTAAACAGAAATAATCATAGAGACATTAAGCTTCAGTGTGTTCTTTATTTTTGTCATTGCTCTTGTAGAGCACACTGGATTTGCAGTGATGGTTTGCGTATGCCCTTTTAGTGTTTATGCTTAAAGATAAGCTGCTTTTCTGTTTTTATTCTTTATTTAACATTTACATTTATAACATTTCCTTGAGTGGTTTCCGTCATTTGGGGATCATTTGAACTTTCCAAGGAAAACGATAACCATTTTCTATGGGAGGAATGATAAAAGTTCCTAGGATGGGACAAACTTTCTCAGAGTTTTCCACTAGGCCCAAAAATAGTGAGCTTATGTGACAGCCATACACTTACGCATGGTAGGTCCAAAGTCCCTCTGTCTGCTTTGGTTTACATGCTATCAGTACATCATCCTTTCACTGTGGTATTGTGATGAGTTAGAAATTACCTCTGCCTATAGTACAGCCATTTACAACCCACATGTGTTGGACAAAAGACAGAGGAGTGAAAGAGATGCCATGTTCAGCAAAAGTTGCCCCGGGATTTCAATGGGAATACTTTTCTGTAGAACAGACAATTTGGAGATTACCCCATCCCTGTCAATTTATCACACATGTTTTAACCATTATATTGTATATGAAATTGGTTTGAAAGGTGGAAGCAGTTTTGTCCAGGTTCTGTTTGGGAAAATACTTTCCTTTTTTGAAATGACTATGTCAGCATCCTAAGGTCTGTGTACAGTTTTGACAACTGTCATCTTACTGTGTATTGGGATCCACTTGAATTGAAACTCCTGAGAGAAGTTTATTAAACTTACAGGTTAATGCCAGAAAGATAAGGAAAACAACTCCCAAACCAAAACAAACCCAAAAGATCTAGCCTACATTGCTGAAATCAGGTAGAACCCCATGTATCTCATTAGAGAAATCTGCTTTTAATATTTTCGTTTCAAGAAATGATGCATGACTTCTCAAATCCTTCCTGCAATTAATCCCCCATGTTCCTGTGTTTAGAAAATGATTCATTACTTTTGAACCTTCCTTAGTTTCCCTTGGTTTGTCCTCGGGGAGCCATTAACACACACTGTAGTGAGCTAGAGTTACCTAACTGCAAACGTCATGTCTATTTGTTTTTACAGGTGCAGCATGCTGAATTGAAACCATACAGCAGCTCCAGTCCCATTAGGAAGAAGCGGAGCGCGCTATAGGATGCAGCGATTTCGGAATGCGGCATCTCTCTCCATACCTGCTACGCATGAACATGAGCTTCCCTCCTCTCCTTCGTGCTTCAGAACAACACTATAATCACTGCCACAGACTCATAGACTTTGTTTTTCATTTGAAGATGTGTTTTTTATAAACACCTATCTTGGGTTGTCCTTTTTGGGTTGCCTTTTGAGCATGGAGTTGCAACCCAAAAAAGAGCAAGGTAGAATATATGAACTGGTTTTTGGGGTGGGGAGGAGAATGGGAGAGGATGGTGCAACTGCACTACTTTATTTTTTCCCTTTGGTAGCAGAGGCAAGGCTGGATGTGGCAGCACTCCATGTTTTATGTAGGAAGAGATAATTCCGCTTAGTGTAGCAGATCAGCTGAGCTGATGTGAGGAGATGCTCTGAACCAGTTTTTAACATATCCAACAGATTTACATTAAGATATGAAAGCTATTCTTTTCGGAGTTAAATCACTGTGCCTAGGAAGGTTTAAGCTCTGAATTAACGAGTCTTTGATACCCATCTTCTGTTCAAGCAGTGTACGTTTTAAGAAGTTTTTTATCATAATTAGCAGAAAGAGCGAGGAGCTCCAACAGTATCTCAATATTTCATCCAGCACTTGTGGGTTTTTCTTTTTCGCCCTTTTTTTTTTCCTCCTTCTTATTTTAAAGCCCACCTTATGGTTAACTCTTTGGATACTGGAATCATCAGAGATCCATTGCTGGCAATGGATGCATGAGAACCTTCTGCTGTAAGAGGAGTAAGAGACTGTAGAAAAGCCTAACTCACTGACCTGAAAAGACTCTGTTGACTTGCCTTTTATAAGTCCATCTCATCATATATTTTCAGTGTAGCTGTTGTTTTCCTGTCCAAATCCAGAGGGGTCAACACTACAGATCCAGGAGAAAAAACACATTATAGCCTTAAAGAGACAAGCGCTTGTGCAAAAGGCAGCACAATGCCTGAAGACGTGGTTGTGCAATAGTATGCGGGCTTTGGTCCACCACTGATGTTCTGGACTCTTTCCTGGTAGCTCACAAGGAGAGGATCAGAAAGTGAAGTCGTATGGAAACTGAGCAATGAAGAGACAGAAGAAAGGACCCCATTTTCTATTCTGAAGAGAATGTGATTTCTTGCTTGCTTACCAATCTTTTGGCTACTGTGCTTTTGCTTTATATAATTCAGATAACCAGCATTATTCATGTTGTTTGACTGGGGAAAGTGAAACACAGAATCCTATGTAATCCTGCTTAATTTTGGTGAAAGTGTACCCCTCAGATCTTTAGGTGCTGTAGGACACCGTGGGAGCAATTTGTCACCACAGGTCATTGGCAGCAGGAGAGCTGGAATTGCTACTTGTGGTTCCCAGGCAGAGGTTACCACCAGCATCCCCCGGGGTAGTTCACAGTACAAAGAAGTAGAGAATCCTGAGAGACAGGTTTAGTTTTAAGAAAAGATGACTTTGGAATTCGTCTAATTAAAGGTAAAATGGGTAAAACCTCACTTATAGATCAGTGATCCAAATGGAGTCGTGCCTTGTGGTTCAGCAACTCAGTCTTGTGGGCCTGTTGTGTGAATTTGAGGAAGGTAAATTAACACCAGAGTATCTTCCACTGGATTATTACCCAGATTCACTGATTTTCCAAGAAGTTTATTTTTCAAAGTACCAAGCCCCACTGTGCCTTTGAATGAAAGAGGCACATTTTCATAGACTTGATTGGAGAAGGAATGTATTTTGCTCATGCAAAGCTGTGTGTAGCTGCGAATGGAAAGGATAGAAAAAAGATTATCTTGGTCTAAGAACCACAAAAACGCTTCTTTGTGTGCACGTGTACTTGTGTACCCATGCATATACAAAGTTGTGTATAAATAAGAGTACATGTATAATGTATTTATAGGCGAGTGTGTGTGGGAAAATGGGTGCATATACAGATTTAAAAACCTTGAAGATGTTTATGAAAAATGCCAAAGATTCTGAAGCTTATCATCTTGCGTCTGTTCTTCTTCATTTTGTATCTTTCCCGGCATGTCTCTCTGGCTGAGCCAGATCTCTGCATGATTTGATTTACTTCAAGTTAATGAAGCTGGTTGGAAAGAGCCTTGTAGAAATTACAAAATCTCCAGTAAATCTCCTTCTTGTACATACAATAGATGTCCACGGACCCCTTTTGTTAAACCAGTTTCTCAATCTTCTCTGTAAACAATGCCTCATTGTCTCGCTTTAAACTATCATCTGGTTTATCATACTGAGGTCTTGTCATTTTGTAAGGACCAAAGTCAGACACATTTAAGCAGGCATGTGAGATCTGATCGTTTATTTGAGTGAAAACATTCCACTGCAGGAAAATTGTTTATTTATTCAAAAGTTGAGACTGATAATATAATATTTTTTTTTCCCCTATAGATTTTTCCACATGGAACTTATTTCTCTTCAGGAGACAGGGTGATGTCTGTTCTTTTTAGTATAGATATGTTGTATTTCAAAATAATTCGTGTTAGATTCTTATGCTGGAGGCATGCCAAATGAAGGGGTTTGGATGGTCCAGTACCTATATATGTTGTAATGAGTTCTTTGTTTTGAAAATTGCTGTTTGAAATGCAATAAACATTTGAGGTTAAACTGATGCTTTTAATTTATCCAGATTAGGAGATATGTTTCCCATTCTTTGCAGACTGCTTACTGTGCTACAATATTTAGTATCTGACAAGGTGAGGAAGTACTTTACTTTGCAGTGTAACAACTGATGCTGGAGGCTACTTGAAACGGACACTGCTGCAGCAGGAGATGAGGTAAAATCTTGCACCACCTGCTTACAACTATTTACTGAGATGTCCTAGGCCCTACCTAAAGGAAACGGGGGTTATGTGCCTTTAGTGCACACCCCAGTCAATATAACACTTTATTCGGACTATTCACTTGATTCTTAAAGCTAGATTATTAATTGATACATATCTCTTTTGCCCATGCAGATTATCAGTTTTTACATTGTTAACCTATTCACTGTATAGCACAGGAACAATAAACTAATTTTTTTAATTTAAGGTAGTCGTTTCAGTGCAACAATATGTACTTTTGCAGACTAAAGTCTCCAAGACCAGAAGGCGTTTAAATCTAACTATGGGTCTCTTAGATGACTGTGAGAGTGGTGAGGCCCTGGCATAGGTTGCCCAGAGAAGCTGTGATTGTCCCATCCCTGGCAGTATTCAAGTCCAGATTGGATGGGGCTTTGAGCAACCTTGTCTAGTGGAAGGTTCATGGCAGGGATTGGAACTGGATGATCTTAAGGTTTCTTCCAACCCAAACTGTTCTGTGATTCTACAGAACCGTGACTAAAAAGGTAAGTGTGTAAATAACTGCATTTGACATATGTGCAAATGCAATATGTACTCAGGTTTGCCCAAACATAAGCTGCTGCTGAAGGCTGGTTTCTTGAATAATCATAAATAAGACTGAGGACTCAGCTCCCCTATGGATCACTGTCAGTAAAGCTCAGTCACTGAAATGCACCTTGTGGAAAGCAAGCAAGCAACTGAGTAACGCAAAGTCAGTGGAAATGTCATGCACCTTTTATTTGCCCTGCTTGCAAAGCTCTGGTTTTAACCCTCAGCCGTAGCTGTTCCTCCCTCTGCTTCCCCCCAGTCCTCTCCTGAGCCACCCACAAAGTGGTGGAGAGCTCAGGCTCTGCCCTGCTGACCCTGGCCTCCCACCGGAGAACACTGTCCAGCAGACCTGCCACCCCAAACCCGTTTGCCTGGGAAAGGGAAAGCTTTCTTTCCCTAGAA